TTTTCATCATCTTCACAATTAGTGCACGTTTCCAATATTTGCAGGGCACCTAGAATAACTTCAGAATTTTTGTTGTCCAGAATTTGTAACAAGGGTCCATTTTTAATAACAATTTCTGGCAATAACTAGAACATATTTAAAAGAATACTTGCACCAAATTTTAATTAACTAATTAAATACTAACACAATCTAAACTCTTTCTACTTGATTTCAATACTGTATCTAAGGTACTGAGGAGATCCAAAAATAAATGGTCAGAGGCATTTCTTAATGCTTGCAACATCCAACGAACTGTTATAACTAACGTTTGACCTTCTAATATAATATTTTGATGATTAATTAGGTTTAAAATTAATTTACAACATTTCGCAACCAAAATGTTGTCGTCTGGTAGAATAAGTGTACAACACTGATGGACTAATAAAACTGCTTTCTGAAAAATAAAGAATTTGATAAAGGTGACAACTCAAATTATGAGAATTGTCATTACCGATGCATTAGTAACAACTGGTTTTTCAAAATCTAAGATGTTAATTTCATCCAAAATTGTACATATGTATTTATGATCTCCTTTAATCCGACTCAAAGTTAATTGAGATAATTTGCCACTTAAAACATCAAAGGTGTGCTGATAGTCTTTGGCCATTTCGACGTCCCTTTAAAATACCCGAAATGTAAAATACTTAAAGTGTAACGAGTGTGCTGATAAAGTTAAGGGTTCTTGTTTCGTTTTCCAATAAACTGTATCTAAAATGTATAAAATAATGCAACTAATAGTCCTCTTCAAAACACTTACTGTATTACGCTAAATTAACAACTCATAGGTTATGTACGATTTTTAACTTTTGACATTTGAAGGACGACGATACATTTAACATAAGTGTAATGTTGGTTACATACGTATTTTTAAAGATATCACAAAAATAAATATTTTATTAAACGCCTTTGAATAAATGTTTTAAGAAACATAAATATTGTATTTAGCAGACATTGGGCAATTGATATGTTAATTACTTATAAGGTATGACCTTTGCTATTAAAGTATGACGACATTCTTTGTCCAATAAAATCGACAGTTCTGCCTGCATGTAGGTGTATATGAATTCCTTGACTTTTGTCGTTCAAAGATGCTACCAAAGCCTCGGTAATCAAACTGAAATGGGGCGCCATTAGAGACTGAAAATAATTTCGTGTCATGGACGAAATTACTTGAAGTGATTCCAATTTTACTGGAACAGCAACAGCCTAAAAGTACAAAACGTCAAAGCATTACATAATAAAAGACTCATCTAGTTTCAAATTTAAAAAATACGAGCAAGTGAAAGTAGGACTAGACTTGAGTGCTAAAAACTTAGTTGTATGAATTTTGTGGGGGTACTCGCATCGGAAATCGGTTTATGTTATATGAAAGAGCCTTTAAATTAAGTTTGTTAAGGTAGTAATAATTCCATACAGAATTATAAATTATCTACTTTTGGATTTTTTCTTTATACCTTTTTAATGCATAAAAACTAGAATATTTTACAAGACTGTAAGTCCGTATATTTTAGTATTTGATATTAACTTCAACTCGAAATATCTTCCAGATACGAACATATATATTTCATACCTGTTGACTTTCTTCACCATTAATTCCTAAATTGTTGAGGCACACTTGTAGCAACCAAGAAATGTCTTTTTTACACCCGGAACACTCCAAATCTTTTCCTATTACACAACTCTCTTCATCAGAAGAAAAGTTGACATATTCAAAATCATCATCTGAATAAGTTTCTTTCTCTTGTTTTTGACTTTTATCTGTTTTCGGCTGTTTGACCGAATATTTAAACGTCTGTTTGAGAAAAGCCTGTTTCGTTTCTGGAACTACTGGTTCAGACGCAAGAGCACACCCCAAAACGATCAAACTTGCAACTTGCACTGTAGCATCTTAAATATACAGTACTCTTAAATTAATTATCTTTTTAATCGAAGCACTACCGAGAAAAATTACTATTTATTAACATATGTTATACTAGATTAACATTAGATTAAAAAACTGTATCAATAATTGTTCAATTATTTACCTTTGTGCTTGATGAACACTTTAACGTTACGTATGACTTTGCTTAAAAGTCCAGGCTTAAGTCTATTGTAAGGGGTGCTTTGAATAAGGACTGAAAGACACTTAAGGCATTGTATAAGAACCTGTACTGAATTCTCGTTTAGGGCCAGGCACAGGCATTTGTGTAATTCATAAATAGTTTCCCCCAACATTACAGAAAACGGGGTAAATGCCGAATATTTATCGCTAAATTTAAAAATTTATACAATTATTACTTCAACTGCAAAAAAGTTACACAAAAATAAACGCTAAAAGTTACCTCATTTCAGCTTGAGACAAATACATTTTCGAACTGGTTAACAACGCTAATAAAACATTTAGGGCCGCCATACGACCTCTTGGAGATGGTTCATGAAGAATACATGTTCTTAAGNGTAATTTTAGATTCCACGCCCTAATGAATAATTAAATGCTCCTAACACTTTAATCAGTACATGCCTGAAATAGTAATTTTCCCTATTTAAGCCTGTTTTTGACCCCTTTTTATGCCAATATATTGTCCGAGGCATAAAATCGTTTACTTACCCACTGGAAAAGTAATAAGGGTATTTAAATCGTAACTCATCTGTTTCAAAAACATTTAATGAGCATTTAATTACTGGGTGACCAAAAATGCTATTTTCATTTATATATATGTCCTGTTCACTTAATCTTAAACAGTAATGTTTAAAAGCCCACAGCATTTAATTTCTCATTAGGGCATTTAATTAGCATTTAATTGCCCGCGTCATTTTTTTATTCTAATGGTCCCTTCCAATGTAATGGACGACTTGCCAAGACACTTGATTGTTCTCTACTTACAGTTAGCGCCCTAATAAAAAATTAAATACTCAGGCATTTAATGAGCTTTTAATTAATACCTGGCTGAAATAGTGATTTCCTTGTTTAACCCGCTTTTGGTTTCCTTTTATGTCAACACATTACTCAAGTCGTGAAGTCATATCATTGCTAGAAAAATACCATAAGCATTTAAAACGTAACTGGTCTGTTTGGAAAGCATTTAATGAACAATTAATTACTGGGTGGCCAAAAAACTGATCTCGTTTATTCAAAATTTTCTCTCGTTATGAACTTAAAAAGTCCATAGCATTTATTTTTTCATTAGAGCACTTAATTAGCATTTAATGTGCATTTAATTAGTGGGTGACCAAAAACTGTTTTCATTTAAACAATTTTTTCGCTAGTTATTAACATAAAAAGTCCGTAGCATTTATTTTTTCATTAGAGCACTTAATTAGCATTTAACGAGTAGTTAATTGTCTATGCGTGTCTTTTTTGATTCTGCTGATTTTGTTCTTCTTACGTAATGGGTGAATATACCTAAATAGGTCTTTCTGCAACAGACGATTACCCTGTACAATTAAGTGTTATGTAACTCTGCACATTGCGTTTTTTAACTACCGAGAAATTTAAAAATAACTTCTACTTTTGTTTTCTTTCTTTTCAATTATAATGAATATGTATGTAATTAATGTTCTCGATGAAAAAATGGTCTCGTGGTTCAAGTCGATTTTTGGCTAATTAAATGGATACATTTTTTTTTAATTTTTACGTCGACTGTAGGATGATAACAGTACAGCCTTTGTTATCTTTTTTTCACCTTATTTCCTAATTGGTGCTGCATTTTTTTGGGCGATATTTTTCTTGTGATGATGTAGATTTGTAAATAAAAATACGCGATGTCATCTAATGGGCAGCATTGACAATGACTCGGTTTTGACGTCAAACCATCGTCTTTAAAGGTTAGCCAGTCACAAAATAAGAATAGAAAATTAACATAATCAACAGCCGCTATCTTGAATTGATCAAGAATTTAAAAATAGCACTTCAGAAGCAGGTAGCACCTCACCTGTGTACTCATTATTAGCCACAGTTCCAAGCATTTCTGTTCAAAATGTTTTTGAGTAATTATACCGGTTGCTGCGATTCTAAAGCAAATTGAAAAATTCGTCATAAAAAAAATTAAATAGACAATCACGATAGCACACAGAAGTAATTAATTCAGTTAAATTAATTTTATTCACTACAGATAGTATAAAAAATTTTGCTACTGCCGCCGGGAATCGAACCTGTACTCTCAGGCACGTACCGTCCGTGTTTCTACTCGTAGCTAAATGGTAGAGTAGTAGTAAGTAAAACCAGAGGCCCAGGTTCGATTCCCGGCGAGGGCGTGACAGTAGCAACATTTTTTCTTCGTTAATTTAGGATTATCTGTAGCGGGAAAGTTAATTCAAAAAATTAATACACTATTGCATAAAAAAAATGATACAGGGACATATTCTGTTCAATGTTTAGTGTTATTTTTATTTAACGATAAAGTTATTATTTATAAATAATGGTTTCATTGTTTTTTCTTCGTAAAAAAGTAATTTTAATTTATTGAATTTATCTTATTAATGTTGGCAATACTTATGCAAATGTGAACCCTATGTCGGGTCGAGAAATGATTTATTTTATCTTTTTGCTAGTTATGACGCACTTGAAAGATTTAACGGAATTATTGTAATTTATCGCGTAATTTACTACCAATATGAATAAATATTAGTTTGTTGTAGAGGCGTATTTAAATCACTTTGTTATATTGTTTGCGTAAATTATATGTATATGAAAATATTGCTGAGGTTATGTGTACGAATTTTCCTGTACCACGTATTTTTTAGAAGAAGATGCTACCCTTTTTATGAATTAACGTAACTGAATATCATCCTTACGTCTAGTTTTCAACTTGCTACTAATGAATAGTTGGATTATTAAAAAAATTTCTAAATATTTTAATTATAAAACTTTAAACCTTCACA